AAAAACCACAAGCTTGAAAATTACAAAAAAATAACACGTTTTTCATGGAGTGACGTGAGCTCACCTCTGAGGTAGATAGATTGCCACGGCTGGGTTCAGCTCCCAAGCCAGACTGGCCCACTTGTTCCAGTTCCTTTCGCGTGCAACGGTATCACGAAGCCAGGTTGCGGCTTCGGTTTCCTTTGGACATACACGATCGGGGAGAGATTGTGGATTAAACCAGACAGATAGTCGCTCGATTTCCGAGGCCTGATATCCGGATGGTATAAAGGACACGGTAAAGAGGTAGATAGGGAAGTATTAGGATAATCATCCAGTCTCTTGATTCGCCGATGTGACATGCAGTCGAAGTTTGCAAAAAAGAATGATCCCACAGGAAAGACTGTCCAGAAGGTTTAGAGAGCATTATAACCGTAATACTGGATTGCACAACTTGACCGATTTTTATCGCTATTTCATTGCCAGGCGGATTTTCAGCGCACGGTTACATTGACGGGTTTCTGAACTGACATGTGCCAGATAGCTGCCGTTACTTCACAAGGTGCATTTGAGAATGTATTGATGAGAGCTACAAATCCGTTTGCACAGCACACGACAGCAGGTCATGGTTAAAGAAGAAGTTGATGTCTTTCGTGCGGTGCAACCAAATTACCGGTTCTTAAACTTATAAAAGGGCCCACATAAACAAATGGTGAGCAAAAGAAAATGATTAGATAATGAGTTAGACACAAACCACAAGCCGATTATCAAGCCAATCCAGAAAGATCAAATCGAATTCACTTTACGAGAGGGGGAGCAGTAACGGATGTTCAAAACCTCCTGTTAGGACATCAATATAGTCGTTCTACGGTATTCCGAGATGGAAGGAGGGAGGGGGGAGACAGTTGTCATCATGGTTTGCAATCACGTACCACATATATGGAGAAAGAAAATCTGTGTGCAGCTTACGCACAGCAACAAACGAGCACATGTGATTTTTATCATTGGGTCAGGCGTTTGCCATAGAAAATCTTGCCATTATGATCAACTGACCAGTCTTTTTGCTCGCACAGTTCAGTTGCGGTTAGGAAGACGAAGAAGCAAGAATACATCAAATCTGTGAAGCAGTATGGTAAAGATTTACGGAATGATTCGCCCCATGAAAAAAGATCAGGTTCCGCAGCCCTCGGACCTTTAGTTTTCTCACTAGTTATTATTACCTTACACTGCGACCATGGTGCGGTCTGATATCTTGACTGTGGTTCGGTGAAACGAGGCAGTGACGTTAGTTTATGTTTTCGTCGAAACTGAAACTTACCCGTTACACGAATGAACATTGGACATATCGCGTTCTTATGATGGTGGTGGTGCGTGTATTATCCATTTGGTCAGTTTGGCAGTCCTCTCTCTTTCTGATCACAAATTCGCACAAGCAATACCTTGCACAATCCTCAGCCGATCCAGAACCAACCAGTCAGACAAGATCGAACTAAAGTAGTCCCTCCAGTGGTCAGTGGCACAGTGTGAGCAGATCCAACAACAAACAAGCGTAGTGACTACGATCGTTATCAACAAAGTGCGTGAGGATCACGGGAACGCATATTTTTATACTCTAGTAAAATAACTTGTATACATACGCTGTGAGGTCGCCAACATCACACTTGCCGGATAATATTCAAAACACCAGATGTGTGTGTGTGCGCACATGCTTAAATGACATTGATCTTACTCAGTTTGTAAGTGCACCATCGTAAATCTAGATTGGTTTGTGACAAGGGCCCAATGATACTTATGATTATCATGGAAAGAACTATTTTCGCTTGGGAAAAAATAATGATGTTGATTATAGATGCAAATGCGAACTACTAACAGACAATGAATGCTATTTTACAACTACAAATCAGAAAGTATGAGAACTGGGATACGGTGAGTGACGACGGAGAAGTCATTAGCGATGGTATATTGGTGTCAATATTGGACAACCGTTATCGACCTGTGGGATATGAGGAAAGCCAATAGTGTGGGACGTTTATGGTTCAACCACAAAAACGCTGTTTTACAAGTCTGGCGAATAAACTTAACGACCTAAAGGATATGTCCATTAGATAACCTATATAATCAAGGCGACCAAACGTCAAACATATGAAACGACGGGAGTGTGGAATGGAACATACACTCAGGAGTCTCCATCGAGAACGAATCAGAAATTGTAAGCAGACATAATTAGGCAGGAGGTACGAATACACCCAGGTCTACGTGCAGCCTGACCAGTATCGTAAATACGGTACAAATAAAAAATATAAGTAAACTGTGGTTACCAAATGTGACCAAACGCGCAGAACCAGGAGGGAATGCCCAGGAGTATATGAACAGACCCATTGTTCAAACAACAGTCGCGCAATAAGCAACTAACATAATTTAACGGAAGTCATCCATGTGGGGCAAAAGATACGATGAATGTGATTTTTTGATCGTAATCAAATAAAAGCGCCCAGTTGAGATAAGAGAGGGAGTTCAATGCGTCACTTTAAGCATTAATAAGCTTCAGGCCAAATTCGAGAGTGACTCGTCTTTGTTAAGAACACATAAAGGTAACAACAACACACTCGAAATGCAATGAAAAAAGAAACGGATAAAGCAATCATGAACGAGAGCAAATGCATTAGTTGAACGAGTAAGGCACTCACCAACAAGAGGAGGATAAGTTCACGTTTGCGTAGATAAAAGTGCTTCAAGTAGCTTTCTGCATGATTCGTATGGCCGCTTTGTTTACCTGTGGGTTGAGAACGGGATAGAACACATCCGTACATACGCGGACAGAAACATATACACATACAAAGGAACAGGAGGAAAAGAAACGGAAGGGTGACAAGATAATGTAAACTGCTTTTCCGGTCGAGGAGGAGGCAGTAAGTCAGCACGAGACCCTGAGGCTTTTATCACAAACCGCATTAGCACCAGCAACTATTCGCCTCTAAAATGTGAGCAAGGATAAGTGCTGATGGTTGTTTCCCTGAACAGATCATTTGTGTCAGGTGGCTTCACGCTTTGCATCACATGCGACAGAACTGATCATTTCCAAAACAACACGTCTGGCAACGGAAACGGAATTAAATTTGGAACGATCAGATTAAAGCAGACCTTGTTTAGTTCCATATGGGATTTTTTAACTGATCCTGGAAATTTATTTCGAATTTTTCTACGCCATAAGCAGTACACATTCGATGAAAACAGAAAAAACCGACCAGTTAGTCGAATGCAAATGCGTCATATACTGTGTTCAATTTCTAATGTAGCAGAACCGAGTTAGGTTCGGAGTACGTCAATGTACGTCATGTGATTCCCTATATGGCGGTGCGTTAGTACCAATAGAATGAAGTTATCGGTTGAGATGGCATGAGAAAGATTATCTGCGATAACTGGTAGGTGCATTTCCCTATGCATATCCCCACCGATTAACGCCATTCTGTTGAAAAATATACATCTATAGACCCCCCTATTGTCTGTGTACAATGGTCTTACTTCAACCTCATATTGTTAGGGACAATCTTCGAGACGGTTATACAGGGAAAGTAGATTAATGTGTTAAACAGCCTTATCAGAGGGCGAAAACCAATGCTACTTTCTAGCGAAAAGCTTCTTTTTCCGGAGTTTGAGAATCGAAAGTAACCAAAGAGCGTGACTCGGGATAGTAGGAAACCTGTGGATGATGAATGTATGTTTTCATTTTAAAATGGCTCATATAATAATTTGATCTGAGATGTTGTTTTGAGGTCTTCTTCGAATTCCTATCACTCAGTTCTGTTCCTTTCCTTTTGGCACGAAATTGAGAGGACGAAAAGCCGATATCGTGGGCTATAACCGGGTTGGTGAACCACTAGCAGTTCACTTAGGGGAGTTGGCTAAAAAAAACCTGATTCCAAACCAACCAAGAGTAGGCGTACGAACCATACCCACACATTTCCGGTCGTGGTAGTGGTCACCGACTCGATTAGGCACCTTGGACGTTTGACCCCGTCCGATGAACTGGACACCGGCTCCCAATGGAGTGCGGTTTTCACACCACCTCGCTGCCTTACGGGTCAGGCTTCGGCTAGCCAAAAGCTCCAGTTGTGCATTCCTCAAGAAAATTCACCTGCCTTGGCCTGCGCAACCTGGCAGTATTCGGCCCACATGCCACCCATGGAACGTTTTTCTTTTTATGAAGATCATTGTACCATAATTTGGTTGGCACACAGTCTGGCATCAGACAAGTGTGAAATATAATAATAATAATCATAATAATAAGCGAACTGCATGTGACAGGCAAGACAGTTGACAGTAAACGTCACTGTGTGAAGTAGACGCCTGTGGTGATTGTTGGTTGGTGAAACAACTACACGATTCGAAGATAGGTGTATTTGTGCGGGGGAAGGGGGTTGTTCCTGACTCATGCAAGTTACCTCAAATGTTTGCTTTTGTCGGCAAAAGGAGTCTAGGTCGGTTGATCGACGATGAATTAATAAATGCCAATAGATATAAGAACCTGTTCTTTAGTATTACGGTAAACAGCAGTTTTCAGATTCAGTTTGTACAACCATGACAATCATCCACTTTTCGTGCACCGATTTACGTTTCTGTCTTCCGGTTGCCCAATTTGGATGAAAGACAGGAAATGAAAAACAGTCTGATCAGCTGCCCGGTGGCGGAGTGGGTAGCATGCTTGCGTTCTGCCCAGGAAGTCCCGGGTTTGACTCCCAGTTGGGTCGATGGATTCGCACTGCTGATGAGATTCAACCAGGTCGAAAAAGCTGTCCAGTGCTTCCTAGCTTTTCAGTTCAAGCTTCATTTGCTATATACACGACGAATTCACCTTTGAAATCGAATCAAATCCTCCATTACTCACTTGAAAGACAGGAAAGTTGAGAGTAGAGTCGAACAGAAAATGAAGAATTTCAGTGGACTAAGGTTGTCAAGAAATTGGGAAGATGCACGAATGTCATTGTTCACGACAAGCAGCCAAATCACTCAATGTCTCTAACGATCGGTCACGAACATCCCGAGGTTCCCTTCCAGGGAGCATAACGGGTCCCATGTGACCGAGTCTCCTGGTTAGGGTTTTCAAACCCTTATGCCAGGTCCTACCTTGATCACCCTGGCTTTATTCCACCCACTACCTACCTCGTGAAACATCGCGGGCCGTGGCAATTTATTTGCTGAAATGTACGAAAAATGCTCATGTGGGCGACTGCAGTTACCTAAGACTCCGTGTCTAGCCTCAGCTTTGTTTGTCCGGTTTTCCCATCGGATTCGTTCAATGCGGCGTAGACAGCGGTGTTTAAACACCGATCGTCTATCTTTGTCTTGTTTGCTTAATGGCCCAGAACTAGCCGAACTGCTGCGGCATATACTCGATCCTCTACGGACAGCCAGATGTTGCGAGGGCACCACACAGATTTCTCAAGTAGGCAAATGCCAACCG